AATCCTCGCCGCTGGCTGTTATTACGGCAGAACTGGACTGATTTCTACATCCCTCTCAGATGAGATCCACTCTGAATTGGTTCACAGTGGGGGGTGACGACTTAGGTTTGTGGGAGGTTTGGAGCCTCTCGAATCATCTTACCCTATCTCGTATGGTTCATGTATGTTTCTCGGGTGCTCTCCCGAAATTTGTGACTTTTGGCAATCTAAGATTTCCTGTTCTTCCTTATACTTTTCCTTTACTCGTGTCAGAAATGTTTCCTTTTCGGGCATGGAGAGTTGTCTTGCCATGGTAAGGTAAGATGTGCGAACTGCAGTGGGTTTCACCCAGTAGTTAAAAACAGCATTACCTGTACTCACCTGGCTTCATGCTGCTTCTGTAAGGGGAACCACAAGGTTACCTCCCGGTCTTGCCCGGCATATCGCCAGGCTCTTGATCTGGCAAACTCAGCCAGGGCCCGGTCTTGTACACTCGATGAATGTAACTCCTGCTTTCGGTCCGTAAAGCCAGTCACAGTCAGTCAGCCCCTACCTCCTTCGCCTCCAGTGCCCCCCACTAAGGGAGTCTCCCCAACACCAACACAGCCAGGGCATCTGTACTCTGCAGCTGTGAGGGCTGATATCCATGTTACAAATCGGTTTGGGGCTCTTGTGGACCTCTCTTTACCTTTAGAGGATTCCCCACCCCCGGGGCAACATCAACTTAGGGTGTCCTCAGACCCGGTGTCCATTGTGGAAATTATTGCACATGCCCCCCTCGTCCACAATACACGTCCTCCCGTCGAGGTGGTACAGTTCCCAAATCGACTCATTGTTCAGAACCCCACCCAGTTCAGATGGACATCATACCCGACCCAGAGCCTTCCATCTCACAGCCGACTCCCCCCCCCCCCAATTCTCCTCAACCCCAGTCTTGGCCTGTTTCCACTCCAGGACCCTTCATGTCTGAAGGTCCCACTTTCTCACTCTTGCCTGCCTGGGCTTTATTCCCTCATCCTATCCTCCTCCTGGTGGAGAAGGTGCTACATTCTTACCTCCAGGGCACCTCTTTTGTGACTGCATGTCTCTCGGTTCTCCCTCGCCTTATTGGGCTGCTTAGTTCACACACGTGAACCTTTCTCACCCCTCTGTTTTTCTTCTTTGGAACGCACGTTCTGTACTGGGGAAGCTTCCAGACCTTCAGAGGTATCTGGCTGAGGTACAGCCACTGGTGGTGGGTCTCTCTGAGACATGGTTATGCCCTCGACATTCTTTTCGGATGCCTGGTTTCACTGTTTACCATAGGGATCGCCTTGAAGGGAGCAGAGGTGGCCTAGCTCTTCTTGTATGCAACCGGCTCCAGAGTACAACCCTCTCTCTCCAAGCCTATGAGAGTGGAGTGTTGGAAACTCTGGCTGTGAGAGTTGCCTTAGGCACTCAGTGGTGCAACATACTCCTGATCTATAATCCGGGCTGCGGCTACTGTTACTGTAGGCCCCTTCATGGGGAGTGACCATCTTCCAGTACTTACTTCTACAACTGAAGCCTTAGTAGTGCCGGTGACGGCAGTTCGTTCACGGTGGAAAAATCACCCAGGCTGGTTGGACAACCTATAATCGGGCACTTGCTGATTAGAGCCTGCCTCAGGACTCCTTGCTGAATGAGGCTGTCGCGTCTCTGCAAGGGGCCATGCTTGAGGCGGGCTCGCGTTCATTCTGTCTCTCCGGGAGCTTCTCCCGTTCATGGCCCCCAGTTCCATGGTGGAATGATGAGTGCCTCCGAGCAGTGAAGGCGCGTCGGACAGCGTGGGCATGGTGGCAGCGCCAACCCTCTCGGACTCAGCAGTTGGCTTACCAAAGGGCAGACGCTCTTTGTCCGCGAACCCTCCTCCAGGCGAAACGTGCATCCTGGGCTTTACTCTGTTCTTCTCTTTCTTTTCGTACCTCTGCCAGTCAGGCATGGGGTTTATTCCACTCCATGTTGGGATCACGTTCTGTAAGTACTTTTCCCATGCTGGGGAAAGGAGCAACCCCACTCTTACCCCAGGACAAGGCTGAGGCATTTGCAAATTTCTTCAGTCCTATGTTTTCTCCTCCTCCTCCTCTACCCTCTAAGATGATCAAATGGGGCCCTTTGCCACCTGCTGTACCCGAGGTTCACTGCCAAGTGTTGGCATCTCCCTTTAGCTCCCATGAACTGCAGCAGGCACTTTCCCAACTTTCTTCCCGCTCTTCTCCGGGGGAGGACAACTTACCCTATTCATTTACACTACATCTACCTCCCTCCTGTACAGAAGCTATGCTGGAGGTTTTCAATACCAGCTGGTATACAGGTGTCTTCCTTGATATGTGGAAACACTCTCTTCTGGTTCCGATTCGAAAGCCGGGCAAGGATGATACCCAACCGAGCTCTTACCGGCCCATTGCTCTACTGCCCTGCTTGGGTAAGGTGCTGGAACGACTGGTGGCTACTCGCCTCTCTTGGTGGATTGAGGAACATGGCCTCCTGCTTGAAAACCAGAGTGGCTTCCAAGAAGGTCGATCCACCCTCTACCCCTTGCTTCAATTTACACAGCTTGTGCACACTTCATTTGAATGTCGGGAGTTCCTTTTAGCTGCATTTTTGGACCTACGCAGAGCATTTGACTCTGCATCACACACAGCAATTGTTTTCAAGTTGGCCCACATGAGGCTGACAGGAGCTCCCCTCTGCTGGATGCGCAACTTTATGTAAGGGAGGACCTTTCATGTAGCAGTGGGTGGCGCTTTGTCCTCACCCTGTCCTGTATACCCGAGAGTGCCCCAGGGATCTGTTCTTAGCTCACTCCTTTTCTCCGTCTTATTATCGGATCTCCCTTTCATCCAGGGAGTGCATACCCTGGTATATGCGGATGATGTGGCCCTTATGTGCAGTGCCCCAGCTTTACTGACAGCACAGGAAACACTTCAGGGTGCCCTGCAATGCATAACATCATGCGCCACCACCTGGGGTTTGAAGGTTAGTGACACTAAGTCGAAGCACTTATGCTTTACTAGACGCCACCCCCACTCTTCCATCGTTATTGAATCAGCGCCATCCTTTGGTCTTTCTCATCGTTGGTTGGAAGTCACCTTAGATGCACATTTTGACTGGAGAACACATAGGGCCCTCCACATCTCATGGGGCATGCATTGCACTTATGCGCCAGTTCAGGCACCAAGTGGGTGTCGGATCGAGGACCTTTCCATAAGTTATATAGCTAGGGTTTTGCAGCAAGTCACTTATGGAGTGAGGTGTATGGTCGGTTCTCCTCCTCTCTTCATCGTTAGAATCCTCGAATTCAGCCATTCGTATTGTGGAGGCATTTTCCAAACCCTATCGCAGCCTTGGAGGCAGAGTCGGGGTTTAGTCCTTTCTCGTCGGTTGAGGACAGGAGGAACTGTTTGACCCCATCTATGGCCTCTCTCCCTTGTACTCCCCTCTGTGCCTCTCTTCACAGTGTGGGAGGACGCCTCTGTCCCCCACGTTTGGTTCACCCTTTCCTTTGTAGCAGGGCCAGCGTCTCTGACCCCCTTTACTTTCCGCACTTGTTGGGGACTCCCTCCCCTCTCCACTCTCCGGCCACCCCCTGGTGGACCTGACACAATACATCCACCTGGATTGGCCTTACAGGAACAGGAAACCCCCTCAGTTAGTTGCATTTCTGTTTGAAGAGTTTCACACTGTTACATATGGCTCTTCATTCTCCGTCTACACGGATGGCTCGGCACGGTCCTCCCCCCCTTCTACATCATCTGCGGCATAACACCAGACACAAACATCTCTACGACATTCCCCGTGTCTGACTAAACCTTTACAAAAATTCAATGTATGTCAAAGGCCCTAAAATCTGGAACACCCTACCTGAGAACTCTAGAACTGCAGACACATTCATCACCTTCAGAACTACCATTAGAAAACATCTTATCTCCCTGATACACCCCGTCAACTAACTACACGAATACCACCTGGTGGTTCACACTTACACTCACTCACCCATTTGACCATAAACAGAAATATTAATCTCAATCTTAAAATATGAATCCTGTGATACTCCAATACTGAAACTATGTACTGTGCCAAAACAAAAGCATTCACATTGCTAAACTCACAAACTAGTATTTAGTCACTTAGCCATAATACCAACTTACCTCATAATTTGTAATATTTTAAAATTAAGAATTAAACTAAGTCTGCCCGAAATGCCTAGCCATGCTAGGTGTTCTAGTGGTACACTCTGTAATCATTATTTTACTACATGTAAACCACACAATAACCAAATTCTGTAAACTCATCATTGTAATCCTTATAGAGAATATAGAGAATCTCTCCCTGTGTCAAACGTGGCGGTTGGACCCTGCTCATTCTGTTCTGGCAGGGGAGCTCTTCGCCATTCACCAGGCTCTGGCTTTTGTCCTAGATCACATTCCCCCACAACCACTGGTCCTCTTCCCTGATTCCCAATCTTCCCTGGCACTTTTGTGTTCTGCCCGTCCACGATCACTGCGCGTTTTCGTTCGACAGACACAATCTCTCCTGCGCTTCTTGAGGAGCCCAGGTTGGAGCATCTCCCTTCAGTGGGTTCCTGCCCATGTTGGAATCTGGGGAAATGAAGTGGCAGATCGGGCGGCCTCCCTCGCGCACACACTTCCTACTGTTACCCCTCTTGCCCTGGGCCATAGGGATTTCACAAGGGCTGTCTGGAAGGGAATCCGTCATCAGTGGCAAGAGGGCCTTGCACACTCCCTCTCTTCTTCGGCGTTGGGCTCTGTCCGAACTTTTAATGGTGGCCCCTGCCCTTGGGCTCGCCATCCAACCGCTCGGTGGACGTTGTACTGACTCGCCTTCGAGTCGGGCACTCGCGACTGGCGGATCATCTATATCGCCTTCGGATGACGAACTCTCCGTACTGCCAGTGGTGTCCCTCACAGCCTGAGACGGTGGAACACTTCCTGATGTGGTGCCCACGTTATCACTCTGCACGGACTACTCTCCGTGCGGCCTTGCGCACACTTGGGGTGCACACTTTCACTCTACCTGTCCTCCTCAACGGGGAGGGGTTTCGCTCTCCGGACCGTCAGGAGATATTGGCTTGTACCTGCTCCTTCCTGCTGGCTTCAGGACGTATCAGAGACATATAATGTTAGTCAAGACATTCTTCCACTTTGGTCGATATTTCCTCTCCTAGCACTGGACGGCCGGGCTCGATAAGGCGTATGCTGTCAGTGGCCCTGAAACCCCAACAGAAGAATCTGTGTCAGGGAGGCTGAGGCCGCCACTATGGGTCAAGGTAACAGTCAGTTTACCGAAGCTGAACTTGAGGAATATCAGGTAACTCTAGGACTTTTACACACCCTAGAAAATAGGTAATTACTTCCAGTATCACGGAATGGTAAGCATTATAAGGGCAATGTAAAATGTCCAGGATATCTCGCAGCAAATTTTGTCAAGGTTCGGAACCAAAACCAATATTTATTTATTTATTTATTTATTTTTATTTATTAACAATTTGAGCACACATACAGAGGTACAAAAAAATACAGATAAGAGCAGCATGCCAAAGCCACTTATACTATGCATAGCATTACGGGCTGGCTTAAAATTAACTTAAGATTAACTAAGCAATGATGAAATCAGTGATAAAACATTAATGTAAACAGATTACTATAAAGCACAAGTGAGTATTACAAAGACAGGTCATATGGTTGTATGCATTGTTGTACATTCAGTCGTATGGAGTATTCTGTTAGGTAGTGTATTTAAAAAATAATAAAGTTAGATTGGGTTTTAGGTTTAACATTTATGTGATATAATTGTGAGAAACATTTAAGATATACAATTTATAAGGTTCAGTTATTCAGTATTTATTTGGTTTTGGGTGAGTAAGTGATCTTTGAGAAGAGACTTGAATTTATAAACAGGTAGTGTTTCTTTTATATTTACAGGTAAGGAATTCCAGATTTTAGGGCCTTTTATGTGCATTGAGTTTTTGCATAGCGTGAGATGGACATGAGGAACATCAAAGAGTGATCTGTGCCTTGTGTTATGGTCATGTGTTCTGTTGAGGTTGGCAAGATGTTTGAGGGGAGGGTTAATATCAGAGTTAAGTGTTCTATGTATGTAATAGGTGCAGTAATAAGTATGGATGTTTTGTATGGTGAGTAGGTTTAGAGTTTTGAATATTGGTGGAGTGTGCTGCCTGTAGTGAGAATTTGTTATCATTCTAACTGCAGCCTTTTGTTGGGTAATTAGTGGTCTGAGATGGTAGTAAGTTTATTCAGGTATACGCAAATAGTTACATAGATTATCATACATAGCAGCATATGTGTAGAGAACCTAGGATAACCCAAAAAAAGTCAGACTTATATCCATTGGGATAAGTGGATGCAATTTTCTAATACCAACAGTAGGTGGTCAGGCCTCAAACACCATACATTACACAGGAATAAACGAGTGGAACGGGTTCCATGATCATGTCATGGCCTATCTTAATATAAACCAGTTTAGTGAGTTCATGTAACTACAAGTACACATTAGTACAATGGAACTCACGGACCTTAATAGAAATATGTCACTGACTTTTTTTTGGGTTATCCTAGGTAATTTACAATATGAAAAATGAAAATGAAAATGTTTATTTCCATGCTAAGGTTACAATGTATGGTTTACATATTCAAAAATATTAATTACAAAGAAGGCCATTAGCATGCCTAAGCATTTCGGGCAGACTAAACCTAATTCTTACTCTATATTGGCACAGGTTATGGAGCAGTACATTTGAATATAATATGTATGATAATTGTGTACCAGTACATAAAAAAAAACTTACTTATAGTAACATGTATAAATTACCTAGGATAAGGCATATCTTCATAACCCGTTTAGGAAGAGAGCTAAGTTAAGCTTATAGAGGTTACAATTACACATAAGTACAATTACACTAGTTTTGGGTAATTACAGTTGCCTTACATAGTAATATATGTGTATGTTACCTAGTTATAAGTCTATGTTAAATATCTAAACAAAATCTTATCTCTTACACTACTTTATTGAAAGCCCCTGGTTATGCAGAGCATTTCAGGCAACCTTAACCCGGATGGTTAGCCACCCAGGATAACTCAAGAAAGTCAGTGCGTCATTGGAGCCTGTTTGTCTTATTTTCATTGGGGTCCTTCAATTTTGTGCCCCAGGATGCAACCCACACTAATTGGTTAATGCCCAGGTATCTACTTGCTAGGTGAAAGGGGACAGCAGGTACAAGGAAACATGTCTAATGTCAGTAATATCACCTTTTTTGAATCAGTTGTAATCCATACTTTGTAGAATGAAGTTTATCATCTATCATAGGATAACCCAACAGAGTCAAACCCACTGACTTATTGCCATTGGGGTAATTGTGCTAAAATGTCCCTAAAATTGAAGGTACATGAAGGAAGGAAAGCAATTTTTTGTATAGCAACTATTCCATGTGCATTGTGCTTATAGTGTACCCTCACAAATGTCTATTGTATATTCATAAAATAGCAGACATAGCCTCCCCTCCACAAACATGGCAGTAAAGCAATTGCAAAGAATTACAGACCAATAGCACTAACATCCCATTTCATAAAAATATTTGAAAGGAACCTAAGAAGGAAGATCGCCACCTACCTAGATACACATCACTTACACAACCCAGGGCAACACGGGTTTAGAGCAGGCTGCTCCTGTCTGTCCCAACTACTGGACCACTATGACACAGTCTTAGATGCACTGAAGGACAAACAAAATGCAGATATTGTATACACAGACTTTGCGAAAGCCTTAGACAAGTGCGACTATTGTGTAATAGCACACAAAATGCATGATGAAGGAATAACAGGTTACCTGGAGTTTACCTGGAGAGAGTTCCGGGGGTCAACGCCCCCGCGGCCTGGTCTGTGACCAGGCCTCCTGGTGGATCAGAGCCTGATCAACCAGGCTGTTACTGCTGGCTGCACGCAAACCAACGTACGAGCCACAGCCCGGCTGGTCAGGAACCGACTTTAGGTGCTTGTCCAGCGCCAGCTTGAAGACTGCCAGGGGTATGTTGGTAATCTCCCTTATGTATGCTGGGAGGCAGTTGAACAGTCTCGGGCCCCTGACACTTATTGTATGGTCTCTTAACGTGCTAGTGACACCCCTGCTTTTCATTGGGGGGATGTTGCATTGTCTGCCAAGTCTTTTGCTTTCGTAGTGAGTGATTTTCGTGTGCAAGTTTGGTACTAGTCCCTCTAGGATTTTCCAGGTGTATATAATCATGTATCTCTCCCCCTGCGTTCCAGGGAATACAGGTTCAGGAACCTCAAGTGCTCAAATTAATTGAGGTGTTTTATCTCCGTTGTGCGCGCCGTGAAGGTTCTCTTCTAGATCAGCAATTTCACCTGCCTTGAAAGGTGCTGTTAGTGTGCAGCAATATTCCAGCCTAGATAGAACAAGTGACCTGAAGAGTGTCATCATGGGCTTGGCATCCCTAGTTTTGAAAGTTCTCATTATTCATCCTGTCATTTTTCTAGCAGATGCGATTGATACAATGTTATGGTCCTTGAAGGTGAGATCCTCTGACATGATCACTCCCAGGTCTTTGACGTTGGTGTTTCGCTCTATTTTGTGGCCAGAATTTGTTTTGTACTCTGATGAAGATTTAATTTCCTCGTGTTTACCATATCTGAGTAATTGAAATTTCTCATTGTTGAACTTCATATTGTTTTCTGCAGCCCACTGAAAGATTTGGTTGATGTCCGCCTGGAGCCTTGCAGTGTCTGCAATGGAAGACACTGTCATGCAGATTCGGGTGTCATCTGCAAAGGAAGATACGGTGCTGTGGCTGACATCCTTGTCTATGTCAGATATAAGGATGAGGAACAAGATGGGAGCGAGTACTGTGCCTTGTGGAACAGAGCTTTTCACCGTAGCTGCCTCGGACTTTACTCTGTTGACTACTACTACTCTGTGTTCTGTTAGTGAGGAAATTATAGATCCATCGACCAACTTTTCCTGTTATTCCTTTAGCACGCATTTTGTGCGCTATTACGCCATGGTCACACTTGTCGAAGGCTTTTGGAAAGTCTGTATATACTACATCTGCATTCTTTTTGTCTTCTAGTGCATCTAGGACCTTGTCGTAGTGATCCAATAGTTGAGACAGACAGGAGCGACCTGTTCTAAACCCATGTTGCCCTGGGTTGTGTAACTGATGGGTTTCTAGATGGGTGGTGATCTTGCTTCTTAGGACCCTTTCAAAGATTTTTATGATATGGGATGTTAGTGCTATCGGTCTGTAGTTCTTGAGGTGTTGCTTTACTGCCCCCTTTGTGGAGTGGGGTTATGTCTGTTGTTTTTAGTAACTGTGGGACGACCCCTGTGTCCATGCTCCCTCTCCATAGGATGGTAAAGGCTCGTGATAGGGGCTTCTTGCAGTTCTTGATGAACACGGAGTTCCACGAGTCTGGCCTTGGGGCAGAGTGCATGGGCATGTCATTCATCGCCTGTTCGAAGTCATTTGGCGTCAGGATAACATCAGATAGGCTTGTGTTAACCAAATTCTGTGGCTCTCTCATAAAAAATTCATTTTGATCTTCGACTCTCAGTCTGGTTAGCGGCTTGCTAAAAACTGAGTCATATTGGGACTTGAGTAGCTCACTCATTTCCTTGCTGTCATCTGTGTAGGACCCATCTTGTTTAAGTAGGGGCCCAATACTGGACGTTGTTCTCAACTTTGATTTGGCATAGGAGAAGAAATACTTTGGGTTTCTTTCGATTTCATTTATGGCTTTTAGTTCTTCCCTCGATTCCTGACTCCTATAAGATTCCTTTAGCTTAAGTTCGATGTTTGCTATTTCTCTGACCAGTGTCTCCCTACGCATTTCAGATATATTGACCTCTTTTAGCAGCTCTGTTATTGTTTTCCGTCGCCTGTAAAGGGAGCGCCTGTCTCTTTCTATTTTACATCTACTCCTCCTTTTTCTTAGAGGAATAAGCCTTGTGCATACATCGAGTACCACCAAGTTAATCTGTTCTAGGCATAAGTTGGGGTCTGTGTTGCTTAGTATATCTTCCCAGCTTATATTGGTTAGGACTTGGTTTACTTGGTCCCACTTTATGTTTTTGTTATTGAAGTTGAATTTGGTGAATGCTCCCTCGTGACTAATCTCATTATGTCGGTCTGGGGCTCCGCGCATACATGTCTGAACCTCAATTATGTTGTGATCTGAGTATATTGTTTTTGATATGGTGACATTTCGTATCAGATCATCATTGTTAGTGAAGATGAGGTCTAGTGTATTCTCCAGTCTAGTAGGCTCTATTATTTA